AAAAAAAAATGCCGAAGTGCTCTCAGGTGAAGCAGCGATTTCAGATCGAGCTCCTCTACTCCGCTCGCTGGAGGGAACTTTGCCTCGATCACGTGCAGGGCAACATCCATCAGACCGTCCCCTGGCCCACCCAAGCCTTTCGAGAGTCGAAGGCCCATACTATACTCTATACTATACTAGACTATACTCTACTATGCTATACTATACTGTACTATACTGTACTTTAGTGTACTCTACTATACTATGATTCTGCTTTCTGGGCTGTTTTTGGGCTGTGCATTGGCCTCTGGATGCACCTTTTCTTTCTTTCAGCCGCGGTTGAGGAAAGCTACGTGCAGCAAGGCTTTGAGTGCGTCTGAGTGGCGGCAGGAAATGCATGTTGTGATGCCCATGAGCAGAAGTAGGTCCGGTTTTGGCTTTGACCAGCATCTATCTTATCCATTCCGAAGACATCATCTTTCTCACCCCATGCCAGCGCCAATATGTCACAGGCAAACCCCGGAGAATACGAAAGACACCCAGAACGCACCCAAAACGACTTTGATGCTATGCAGACCCTAGACTCTAGACATCCTAAACCCTAAACCCCCGACCGAAAAGCCCTAAGCCCCCAAAGAGGGGCCCCCTTTCACGGCGTGGAGCAGCGCAGAATCGGTGTCTGAGGACTGGGATTCCACCAACTTTCAGTGGGAGCCAAAGCTGAAGTTCGTGAACGTGGTTTCTCAGGACGGGGTTTAGGGTGTAGGGTATTGGGTTTAGGGCTTAGGGCTTAGGATATTAGGGCTTCAGGGTGTTAGGGTACCAGGGTATTAGGGTTTAGGATATAGGGTGCAGGGCCCCAAAAAGGATTTGAACAAGATCACCCTAACCCCTACACCCGTTGAAAGCCCGTCTTGCTTTTTTACTTGAAAGCCTTAAACCATAAGAAGGATCCTCCCTTATTGGGATAATATCGGGGCCCCTTTTTCATGTCCACGAACCTCTGGTGTTCTCTTCCCATTGCAGGAGCCCACCCAAGACGACTGGTTCGAGGTGTCTAACGAGAACTTCGAGCGGATCAGCCCTGAGCAGTACATCCAGCAGAAGCCGGCAGAGGTTAAAGGGCGTAGGGAATAGGGTTTCGGGTTTCGGGTTTAGGCATAATTTTGGGGGGTTTCGGGTTTAGGGTTTAGGCCTAATTTTGTGGGGTTTCGGTTTTGGGTTTTAGGTCTAATTTTGTGGGGTTTCGGGTTTGGGTTTTAGGTATAAGGTTTTGGGATTGAGGGCTGGGGTTTGAGGGAAGAAGCCGGCAGAGGTGTGGATTCGCCGCTTCACTCGGCTAAAGGCGACCTTCGCGGTGAAGATGGACTTCAAGCCGTTCCCCTTTGACATGCAACCAGGATGCAAACCCTAAACCCTAAACCCTACCTTAACATCCTGAACCCGAGGATTATGCCCCTGCAATTCTTGCCTGGAATAAATGGTTTAGGGTTTAGGGTTTTGGGATTAGGGTTTAGGGTTCAATAGAACCCGACGCCCCCCTAAACCGAAGAACTAAGACCCAAAACGGTAAGCCGTAAGCCTCAAGCATCCCAAAGCCTAAACCCCTCTTCCTTTATTCCTGAATGGGTTGAAGGGGTTCTTGAGGGGGCTATATGGTCTTCAGGGGGTTAAGATGAGACTCCGGCTTAAATTTATGGTGTTTCGGGTCTCGGGTTACTATGGAGTTTAGGATTTATGCCCTAAACCTTAAGCCCTAAA